TTTAAGACTCAATATTTGCTGACCAAAAACTATACCTGTCCAATACAGTGACAATTTTCTTGACAGAGATTATACTGAAGAAAGGGGATAAGAGTAATAACTCAGGACATTAATTCCTGTAACTACTTCTTGAAATCTATTTTAAAGAAAAAAACCAGAGTTGTTAAAAGTTAGATTATCACACTTTACAGATTTGTTTGACATAGGTCAACAATTAGAGTGCTTTCAATTTAAGACCTTTTCAGATTTAATAGCAGTAGTAGATACAAGGTCCTAGTAATTATTATTTTTAAGGCGAGCAGAGCTCAGCAGAACTAGAAATCAAAGACAAATATACAGCAAGGTTTGAAACACTAGGAAACAGCCTAGAAATAGACAGAAGAGAACTTAAAGCATGAATAGTGGTGCATAATTATGTAAATGAATTTGAAGGGTAAGTTACATGTAAAACTAACAATGACTTATAATTGAAGAAATATCTGATTAAGAGTTAACATTTGCTCTGTGTTGTTTGCAATACTATAGAGAGCCCTGGGTATCTCCATACCGTGAAGATTTTGACAAATCAGAGGGCATGCAGAAAACAGCAGCAAAAATAGTCATGAAAGAAAAACTGACTTGTGAGAAAAGATTGACTCATCAGGAAGTGAGTACTTAGAGTGCATAATTAAGTGTGCAGCCAGTTCCTGCAGTGAAATCTAACTTTTAACCTCTCAGAAATTTAGGTAGAAAAACTACCCACATATGAAAATAAACACAACTCATCTGAGGATCGCTGAGGGCTTTCTTTTCTTTCTATTTTTTTTTCCAATCTTAGCTCAGCCACTTAGCTCAGCACATGATACTACAGTTCTTGACTGCTGTCTTATGTGATCCCCCTGTTTTCAACAGTCACAATCAAGCGGTTTATTAAAGGCTTGGGAGGACTACTGGTGACATCCTCTGTATTTGCTTTGCTAATGCTTCCTATTTGGAAGATTCACTGAAACTTTTTTTAGCAGCTTGGGCACCTTCAAGTTTTATTATCAGACTTCAAAAAGAGAAAGAATGAGTCAGGGAAATGCCTTTTCCTTGTTTCAGGAAATCAGTTATCAGTGACAAAGTCAGAAAGCATTAAAAATTCAAGTTCTCCAGTAAGATGATGACAGTGTATCGTAGTGGAAAATGGATAATCAACAGAGTGTCTCCCACTCTGGTACTTGTGTTTGCCTAGAAAAAATAACCTCTTCAAGTGGTCCAAGCTATGCAAATGAGAGAGATGCAGGAAAGAGGTCACAGAAATAGGAATCTGAAGCTGACATATGAAAAATCTGTGATGGATCATGTCCACCTAATATTGAATTGGGAACTTGCTACAGGAACACTTAAAAGAGTTTGTGTTCACCTTATTCTTTAGTTCTTATCAAAACAAAAACTACCCCCAAAATCTAGAAAATTACAAGTTATGGCCTTTTATTTTAAAAAGATTAGGTTTCAAAATGTCTGCTTCCAAAAGGATTTCTCCATTGACTTTACATAGTCATGGGTATTTATATTCCTCCTAGAAATACCTATGATGTATTCCTTCTACACACCTACACTATATATACATGGTAAATCAGAAATGAAAACAAAGCCTCCTACTTACTGGCCTGTTGCATTCTGTAGGTGCTGAGCAAGAGACTTTTATCAGCAATGCATGAGATACATACAGGGAATGACAGGATTTATCAGGTGGCCTAAGTAAGATGGGCTGAAGCACAAGGGTGAGAAAAATGAAGGCCTTCACTAACTTTCTGGGGAATGAACATACCTTTCTGCTTTCAAATCCAGTGATAATACTGACCATGAAGTTAGGGGAAAAAGATATGCTTGCCAGTTGTTTACAAGAATGTGATGAGTTAAAATTACCCATGAGTCTTAGGCTTTCACTCTGCTGCTGTGTTGGTCAGAAGGCTCTGGTAAATACTCCTGAGGGAGTAGAGTCATCAGAGGACTGGTCTCCATATTACCAATATGTGAAGAGATTCACCCAGTCCACTTTAGGAGCATTTTTTGTTATTTTGTGTTCTGTGTAAGGAATATATTAGTCTGACCATACTGAGCATTACTCCTTCAGGCATTGGGAGCCCCTGGTGGTCTAGAGGTTAAGGATGCGGCGCTGCCACTGCCGAGGCCCGGGTTTGGTTCCCGGTCAGGGCCACTCCCCGGGCAGATGGAGCTCGTTAGCCCATAAGGCAATCCATCTACGTCCTGAGGACCTCGCTGCCACCGTCCAAGCTCGCTTGGCCCCGGCAGATGAACCTCAGGATTAAAGGGTGGGCTCAGTTCCACGCACACTGTGTCTCACCTTAAAAATCCAATGCGCAGGCTGGAAGGTGTAAAGACCTTCCCCGGATCTTTGTTCACGAAGACTGGCCATTATCCTTCAGGCATGAACCACCATGTTTATCAGTTCGCTGCATGCTGACTTCGTTAACTGGCAAAATTATGGAATAAAACAATATTTTCCCTACTTGAAAACAAATGAAAATAAGCACTGAATAAATAGACAAATAAAGAAACTAGATTATTCTAAGTAGCAAGAACTTTCTTTGGTTTCTTCTAGAACAGTTAGGACTTCTAACACTTCACAAAGATCGTTACTCAGCGTTCCCTTTCTTTGAAAACATGCCCTTCGTGACTGCAGCATTTCTTGGAATTATTTTTTTGTAGTACGTGCGTTTCCAAAGATGGATGTTCTTTCTCTCAGAGTAGGAAGTGTACAATAAATGGACAGAACTTAGTTGCTACATTTGTTTTTTTTTTAATTTCCAAGCTATGGTCTCCATCCATATTTATTTACTGCTTCATGATTGTTTGTTTACAGTTCCTGCTCATCAAGCACTTTGATGTCACATGGAGTGATATAAAACTATATTATTTTCTTCTCACTCTTCTTCCATTTCTCCTATATTGCTTAATTTCCACATTTTGTTAAAAGGGTAAGATCTATTCTCTAGTGTATGAATATCTACCATGATTATATATTGATAATATTGAAAATAGAGATACAAGGTTGCATTGATAATGGTAACTTTTTTTTTTTAAAGGATGGGAAACTCAAAATCAGCTCTGAAATTCCACCCTCAATTTGCAAAATGTGTATAGATATTCGTGCCTATATCATATATTAGACTACCCACTTGGTATGGGATTGCACTACTGGAAGGTAAAATAGCAACAGCCCAGTTTTGACTGCAAAAGACCTTTATTTATCCATGATGGCAGACTTAAAATGGCCAGTCAGACTTTTATGAGAATACAATAAAATACAGCCAATTCTTGAGCAGTCATACATTTTGCCAAGGCTTTAAAAATAATTTTAAGCTCCAGATAACTGAATGTTAAATTGAAAAGAATAATAGACTATTAAACAAGTCAGTGATTTAAACTTAAATGATATTCTTTTCTTAAAAAAACTTCCACTCCCAAACCCTTTTTTTCCTATTTTTACCCATGCAGTATTAGTGAGGATTTCTTTTCTTGTCAGACACAAAAAATATTTCAACATTTCTTGATGTTTTCCTTGTTTTGTTTTGTTGTTTTTTTTTTTTTTTAAATGAATCCAAGTTTTCTAAGCATTGTCTGTTGCAATACGATATTTTCAGAAAAATGCCTGCTAGAAAGTTTAGACATGGTAGTTCAACTGTAAGCTTCTGCGGACATCCATGTTGTATTATGTTTGGCTTAGATTGAGCAACTCCTGCTAGATTCAGCAAAAATAAAGCACAATGACCTGTTCAGCTGGACACTTCAGCAGCTGGTCTATAACTTAAAGAGAGTTTTTCTTTACGCTTTTGAAACTGTCCTGGGGACTGAATAGACAACATATAAAAATATGACAGGAAGATGATGGATTATGGGTCATAAGTCTCCTTTCAGCCATACAAATAAAACATCATGCTTGTGTGTTATGATAATACATTCAATGGACAGAAATTAGCAGATGTTGATTGCATTCTAGTGTGCACAGCATACCAAAAATCACAGAGGAATGTTTAAGGGATTGTAAAGAGACTGTCCCATTGGATGCCTGTAAAGCAGAGCTTAAGTCACAAAACCACAGGAAAGCCAGTTTGGTAGTTGTCTGGCTTTGGTTTAATCATTCCTCTCTGCCAAATGCAGTCATTAAAGTGTAACAACAATTATATGCTTTTTCTGCCCCTTCCTAAGCAATACTTTATAGCTGTCAAAACATAAGGTTGTGGCAGACTCTTCTTAAAATAAAACTTCAAGACAAACTTAGGAAAAAAAGTATGAATGAAACTTTGTAGTTCAGTGCCATTCAGAATTCTATAAATTATCCAATATAACATATAAAAGCACCAAGATTTGGTCTTGCTCAGTTACAGCCTGGAACAAGCTTTTATACATAATACATATATCCACACAAAGAGAAATACAGCTTCAAACCAGAACTACTTTTTTATATATTGAGATGTAAAAGCTAGACTTCATTAAAAGAAAGGCTTGTGTGTACAGTGTGTGTTTAAAACCACCTTAAACCTTTTTCCAGACAGGTAACATTTATTTTCAGGAACCTATGAATCTTTCAATTTTAGAACTTTATCAACATTCACTGAATTTTAAAACTCCTTGTTTCCATATGAGGCCATGTGCACTAAATTTTGTCCTTGGCTAAACACAGATTTAGTGACAAAACTAATGGGTGTGTTCTCTGTTTTCATTAACAAATTGACAATATTTGCATATAAGCTTTTTCTTCACTGTTTGGCCATACAACAAACACATATGTATAAGCATTATCTTCCAGAGATTCATTTAAAAGTGGATTTAGAAATGTAGTCCAATTCAATCAGATAGTGATGAGCTAATATATGTAGCAAATACTGCTTTGTAGATGTACATATGCATGTATTTTAATGGAAATACAGGGATTCTAAGCAAAAGTGTACAAATTATTGCAATGTAGGATAAAAAATCTATGTGTCTGTGCTGCTGATTTCATCACAATGCCTGCCTCATAGTGAAAGGCAGCCCATACCAGGATGTGCTTAGGTGTTGGCAGCCTAGGTTATATTTGCTCTTGTTCTAATCTTTTTTTTTTCTTTTTTTCATGGCCATGGCTATTGTAGGCTTGACTTATGGTGGAGGAAAGGCACTTAAAACTGCAAAAGGCCTATTTGCCAGTTTTGCAACATGATTTATAACAGAAAACATAGAAGCAAGATGGCGATTGTCCATCTCCATTAATTTTTATGCCTTGTTTCAATGGTAGATCAGCACGAAGGGAATTCCTCGAAGTGTTAAGTGTAACAAGGCCACTAGGTAGTTACTAACAGTAGAGACTTACATCACTTATAATTTTCACACTTTTTATTTTGTTTTTTTGCAAGAAATACCTGAATCACAGAAAAAACTCAAATAATCACTTTTGATGTATGCATTTTGTTTTCAGATGTCAATTTGAATTTTCTCCCAATTTCCCCAGTGAAACAATTTTGTAGAAAGTATGATATTGTGGTATTTGAGACAGCAGCCACAAGGAAGAGGTGAGTATATCAGGTCTCACTATATTCTTTCCACACTTTGGGATTACCACAGATATTTTGTGATGCATTTTAGGTATTTCGGGTATCTGCAAATTGTACCATCCATTATAAAATGATCTGATAAAACTGGAAAGATTGCAGTTTTTTTAAGATCTGAATGGTGACTATGGGACTTTGTGCATTGTTTTTCCATTTGCAGTCTTAGCGTGTATTACAATCATCATATTTTTCTATTACCTGCAAAATTATTGGCACTGTGGAGGGTCTGGATAGGAATTTGTTGTTCATGACCTTTTTCAATACAACTTCAGAAATCTCTCAAAAGAAATTCAGAGGAGCCATATTCAAAACACACAAAGGGGTGTGCAATAACAGATAGATCTGTGGAACATCTTGCCAAAGGAAATTATGGGCATTGAAGGATTAAAAATTCCAAAGACAGTAGATTAATCTCATGGAATAGGTGTGTTGAGGATTACTAATAGACAGAAATCATATTCAACTCAGCGTGGCTCCTGAGCTGCAAGTAAACAGAGGCTTGAAGTCTATTCATATGAAATAACTTCTTTTTCACCTATGTTCCTACTATTGTGAATAGTATTTGTTGTGAACACATAGTTTTGGTCATTGCTGGAGAAAAAGAACTCTCCTTCAGATGGACTTCTAGTCTGATTTTGTACAGCCATTCTTTACACAGTTCTCTGTTTTCATTTGACCTAGACTACTTCCTTGATGCCCTACTATTTTCTGCTATGGAATGATCAATTCATAGGAGAAAACTTTTTCAGTTCACAGAATTTACCATTCATCATGTTAAGAAGTTAATGTGTATAGTTTGCTGTTCTTTAGAGAATTTCCAAACATTGTAAGATGTTATGAGAGGCATAAGAAAAGAGGCATATTCAGATTGATGCTTTGTGGCTCTATCCATAATAAATTTTTCCAGATTTGTTGCTGATGCATCTGCTTCGAAGTAATTATTTCACAGAAGAAAAATGTTGTAAAATAAACAAACTTTGTAATATGTAAATAAAATCTGTCTGCAAATACAATTGTGAAATTTTAGTGATCTATCAGTTTTAGGTATTTTGTACTATGCTATAAATGGTAATTTGAAATTTATTAGTTTTGCATGCATTCCTAAGATTAAAACTATTAGAACTCTGTTTAAACCCTTTGGAATACAAACTAAAGAAGGAAAAATCTATTAAAAGTCATAAGCATTCAAAATCTTCCCTAGATTTTAATTCCTTATTTTGAGTCATTTTTACCATGGAAGTTAGACCCAATGACATGCACTATGCTCTATCTCACAGTTGACAATACAGTGCCATCAAAATCATAATTGTTAAAAAAAAGAAAGATTAAACATCTTACTCTACAAGTAATACATAATGTCGTATACCTATTACTGAGAAGGCCCATCTTCTATGACCAAAGAGAATAACCTGATTTGAACTAGAAGAACTGAATAGAATTGTTAAACAATTCTTTGCATTTTAAGCAACATTTAATTAGAAACACACTTTAACCACCAAAATGATAAAAATCCAAGAGATTAAAATTTGAGTGTCAATTATCATAAAATTCATCATTGTAATTCTTATTAAAACTCAGTGTTTAGATAGGTAATGATTTTATAATATGGCAATTTGCATAAGGAGCCCTGAGATGGCTTATTATTTCGATCCTACACAATTACAATTCTAGCTCCATACATCAGAGCTCTTAGCAATGTAAAATCACTGTGCTAATTAATAAGCCATTTACTGACTGCAGCTAGTTATGGTGGTCCTGCAGCTGACCTTACGGAAGATGAGCCATCTCTGAAGTGCCTGTGTGTAACTACAAACATAATGATGTGCCAGGAGGGAATCATTAAAAATAATTTACACAAGCCTTCATTTACAAGATCTTTTGATAGCGTGCTTCCCCGGTGTTTAGATCCACAGTGCAACCCCTACCATTTGGAAAGTGCCAAGCAGGAGAGTGAACGAGGATACCTAAGTGGTTAATTAAGAGCCATTCGGACGCCACAAGAGCCTCCTGAAAAATCCCTCTGATGTCTGCTGTGTCAAATGTCTCTCACAGGCAAAACCACAAGAGGTAGCTGCCATAGCAGGCTAATTATTGGGGACCAAGAGCAGCTGAGAATGGCCTGTCACTGAGGCTTGCTGTGAGCACCCAAGCCCAGAACTGAGCAGAGCAGCTTTTGTGTCACTGGGCTTGAGAGAAACAGTGGAAATGAGTCACTGTGATTATCAGAGGTGATTGCATAAGCCGTAAAACTGTGCAGTTGTAGATGAAATTATTCACTTGTGCTGTTTGATGCATTTTGCAACTTTTTACATTTTACTGTTATTCCACCTCCAACACGTGTTTTTTTAAGACTTACATTTTGAATGCCTCTAAGAAAACAATAACTTATAAAGGCCTTATAAGGATGAACAAAGATTTCAGAAACATCAAAGATAATTTTTATGACACAAAAATAATTTCAAACTACATAAAGAGAACCAAAAAACCACATTCAATCACACTACAGCATGAGACTACAGGAGAAAATATGCACATACCATAAACTGTCTTCTAATTTCAGTACAGTCAGAACAACTACCAAGACTAAAAGAATATGTCACTTCCTTCCTCACAGCAGCTAGATATGAACGTCATGAAAACATGCAGCTCATGATTTATTTCTCCTTCAGCCAATTTCCTGCAAGGTGGAGGAAGAGAGCTGTTACCTTGTGTGGCATTTTATTAGTTTAGTGGCATTCAACTGGTTTACTGACCTTCAAGGGATTTTCCAAATCTGCATGAGGGAACATGTCTTTTCACTAGCTTGTCAGTTCATTATGTGGCTAAGAGCAAGTGGTTCATACTTTGAGTGTGCAGACACTTTCCAAGTCTGTCTGATACCTTATAAGTTTATTTTCTGAGCTACCTTCCACAAGTGTTGTGTGAGAAAACAGCATGAGCACATTTCTTGTGTGATCCTTGCTAGATTAGTAGATTAGTGCCTTGTGGCCAAGCGCCAAGACTGGGCCTGGGAAGAATTAATTTAGTAAAGGTGGAGGCAGCAATGTCGTTGCTCTATGACTGTGTGTCTGTGCAGGTATTTGGGAGAAAGAAAGAGGAACAGACCATGTAATTAGCATCTTATCAATGATAATGATAATGATAGGATTTTTAAGTTTGCCTGTGTGATTTTTTTGAAATACATCCCATTTTGGCAACTTTATTTTAGTAAGAGGAGAGTTACTACCTTCTAGATGGAAACCACCCCCTTCCAGATCTCTGTGATGTTTTCATTTGAAATGTATTTTTGTCTCATTTTTAGAAGAGCTGTGTAAATAAATTCTCATGAAATAGAAAATACCTACCTGTTTCTTTTATAACCACACCACTTTGGAGGAAGAAAATATTTTTCTAATGAACCTACATGTTCCTCAAATGCATGAAAGAGATGGCTAGTTTTACTAGCAACCAAAATGAGAGATGACAATATGCCAATGACATTCAATAATAAAATCAGCAGTCAAAATTTGACCAAATTATGACTGGCTTATCACTAAGTCCTTACTACATTTAAATAATTCTGTACCACTGAAAAGTTACAATCTCTAATCAGCATACCCTATTATTTGATCTAAGAGGCACAAATAATAGCCTACATTGTCTGGTGAATTATATAACCTTTAGACACCACTGAAGAGTAAAAAAATCAGTTAAACAAACTAGTTTGAAAAAATCAGTTAAACAAACTATTTGACTAACTGACAGTCTTTCAGTCGTAAGAGAGAAGGGATAATAGCATGCAACTATGGTTCGGTGATTTTTTTCTGTGTGTGAATTAAGATGCATGTTTGCCCACAACTGTATGTGAAGGATCTTACAGAGCTAGAACTTAAAAGATAATTTTATAAATAGGTGTGTTGGTTGGACTATTTGTCTGAAAGATCTTAGGGACACCAATGTGGTTAGAAGCACCCTGCTTTCCAAGCGACAACAATCAACATGACTTTTTTTCATTTAGAAGACCTAAGTAATGCCCAGCTAATAATAAGATAGATGAAAAATATAACACATGGCAATATTATGAAATATATATTTATAATATCATGAAATATATTTATAATAAACAGAAGTTCTCATCCTTACAGACCTTTGTTGCTAACTGGTTTTAATATTTTAAGTCTTTAATATATCTAAGAGCATATTGGCAATGAAAAGAGGTGCAGTGCAAAGAAAAAAATTTGGTTTATGGTGCAGCAAAAGAAAATTTCTTGAGCTCATAACTGCAGTGGTATTAGAAAAATGTGGTAAAAAAAGCTTAAGCCATTTCTGCTATTTCAGTGTTGATTCCCCCTAATGGAGAGTATTTCCACACTTGAATTTAGCAAGGTACCTTTTGAAAGGAAAAGGCAAAATTCATGCTTCTAATTTAACAATATCAATTTTAAGGATTAAAAATTGGTCTTATAAAGGCCAGCTTTTCTTGTCCTTATCATAAACATAATCTCACTGAAGCCAGGAGAGGTGCTCCTGGGAGGGAGAGATATCCCATATGGGTTTAAGTTTGTGCCTAATGCCAGCCCAGATGTTGCTCTGATTAAAGCCAGCAATAAAAACTCTTGTTACTCTGAATGATGCAAGATGAGACCACTTGTGAAGTGTTGGTGAACCTTTCTCAATTCTGCTGGATTTCCACACATTGCAGATCAGGCCCTAAATGATATAACTTCATCCTGGCCCCAAGTGTGAAGTCATTCCCTAGGGGAAATCTGCACTGAAATCATGAATAACTCTACTTGGGAAAGGATTGCAAGAGCAGACGTTAGTGTTTGCCTCGAGGGATACCAAACGTATTTGACCAATCGCAACATATAGTGAGATGGAAAGATAACACCAGAATAAAACAAATGGCTTTCTAAAGTGCCTACTCTTCACTATGTTTGAGCTATCTTACTTAAGAGGAAGCATCATATTTCCTGAAGACCATCATCTGTCATTAAAAGAGAATTTGTAACTGCACACCTACATGACTTTTGGGAAAGAGGAACATCTCTATGAATTCTTTTTTGCTTCAGATGTGTACAATGAAGTAAAGCATAATTTTCTCTTTTTTTTTACTCCTGCCTTTTTTTCTTTTTTTTCAAGGAAACTCAATTCCATAAAGCTAATAGCTAATAAATGTTTAATACTTGTCTGTTAAACAAATAGTTCCTATTTTTATAAACATGGCTTAACTTGACTGTGAAAAGCAACCCTTATTTTATTTTATATAATTAACATTCAATTCAGGGGTTTCTTGATGAGATTAAAATTAAAGTTTCTACATTTAATACCATGGATTCACGCTTGACAAGCTCCAGGAATTTTAGTGAATAAATACTTTAAGTGGACTGCCAGAAAACTTTTCCTTGGAGAAGGCCATGAAATATATTTTTAAACCACTATAGCTACAAATAGAAATTTGTAAATACATCCAGCCAAAGGTTCCAGGCTAATTCCTTGTGTACTCAATAAGAATCTTTCCTGCACCTAATTATCTCTATTAACAGAGAGATAAATTGTGCAATTGTTCAGTTTGTTGAGATACAGGTATTTAACAGATGTTAAAGTAAAGGTTTTATTTAAAGGTAAAGTATATGTTTTTAACTTCTCTAATTCAGAGGAAATACAGGAGAATTTTATTTTAAATATATAGAATTAAGCAACAGTTATTTAAATAAGTCATAATGTGGGTTGTACATATCTGAAGCTTGTATGAAATATATGTATGAAATATATCTGATAGAAAATATTTTTCTCCTATTTTTCCCCTTTAGATTTCATAAATACATAAGGAGTGATTGAACAAAAAAAAAAAAAAGGAATTATATTAATCACTTGAAATGCTTTCTTGAGTAATTTTCTTATTTTACCAAAGCCATTTTCAACGCAAATCACTTCCGCTAAGAACTGAGAAGTATGAAAACATATTCTTTTTCTAGTAAGGTTCTTTGAATCACACTGAGGATGTCGGAACCATTAAAACCTTTATCTAGAATCTATAGGAGTCCAAAAAAATTTTTTTTTCCAGATGTTTACAGCGAGGCCTCTATAGTAGTAGTCAACAGCTTATTCAGTCCTGCAGAATTTGAGTTTTCCGCAGCATAAATGAAAAGGTAAATCAAAGTGTCTCTATGAAATTTCATGCACAAACAATTTATATGAAAGTACAATAAAATCTTATAATTAACCCTGCAGGAGGTGTTGGTAAGTAGAAGAACACTTTTGGGAATTAAGAGGTTGGTAGGATGGAAGTTGGTGTATTGTTGCTCTTCAGTATGTTCTGATTACACTTCCTCATCTTTTCCATATGCCATAGTGGTAATAAGGGCTAGTACTTGGAATAAGAGGCAAATTACTTATAGTTCTATTTTCTTATCCCTATGAGAACTGATTTCTTATTGTTTGCCTTATTCTGGTGGTCAAAGGTGTGTGCTGCTCTTAGTTCTCCTCTTACAAGGTAAAAGTCATATCAGTTTAAATGCATGTTGTCATATAACCTGCAATCACCAAACTTCTATAAATATAGTAGCTGCCTGGTGGTAGATTAAAAAAAAAAAAAAGACTGAAATAAAGATATCTTGGTTTAAATATATTGACAGTGTGGAGACTAAGTGGGTTTGCATACCAAAACATTTTAAACACATATATATGCAATTACACAGATTCTCTGTTCTGCGGGAGAAAGAGAGTAGTGCAGAAAAAATTGTGTGGTTCTTCTGCAGGCCATGCATCTCCTGTAGCTAAAAGCACTCTTGTTCTCTCAGGCATCTCTAGAAGTCTAAGTGATGATATCAGGTTGGTACCATATCCTCCAGACTCTCTTCCCAAATTGCTCTGGTCTCTAAAGTGTACAGATTGAGTGAAAAAATCTGATTCTTGATCGTCTTTTCCTTACACTCAGTGGCAAAAAAACAGCTCTTGCTGCTGCTGATGCTCACAGTCCGCTCCTCCTAAAGAGTCTCCAGTTGTTCACAACCTTCTCAATGATTGTTTATGCTGAAGTTATTTTCTCATTCTTACAACTAGACTATTCCCTTAAACTATTCCCTTATACTATAGAGTTAACTTAAGGTCATGCATATTGACCTTAACACTAACATTTAACACTATTGTCAACTAAGCTAAACTTATGTTAATTGCTACAGGAAGAAAGTGAGAAAAAGGATTCCCTTGGGAAATAGTCATT